AAGACCAAAAGAGAAATGCTGGAGGTACCACAATGCCTGACTTCAAACTACACTACAGAGCCACCATAATAAAAATAGCATGGTTCTAGCACAATAAAAGACATGAAGACCAATAGAATACAATAGAAGGACCTGATACAAATCTACACAACTACAGCCATTTGACTGTCCACCAAGGAGCCCAAAGTATGTGTTGGAGAAAAAATAGCATCTTCAATCAATGCTGCTGGGAAAAGTAGGTATCTACCTGCAGATGACAGAAATTAGATCCCAGTCTCTCACCTTGCACAGCATCAATTCAAAGTGGATTAAGGATCTTAAGGAAAGAACTAAAACTGAAATTACTGCGGGAAAAAAATAGGGAATACACTGGATCATATAGGCATAGGTAATGGTTTTATTAATAGAAATCCAATAGCTCAGCAATTAAACTACAGGCTTGCAAATGGAACTGCATCAAACTAAAAAGCTTCTGCACAGAAAAGGAAACAATTACCAGACTGGAGAGATAGTCACAGAATGGGAGAAAATTTTTACCAGCTGTAATCTGTCATGGGATTAATAACTAGAATATACAGAAAACTCAAAAAATTAACCCTGCAAAGAATCAGTGACACATTGAATAAATGGGCAAATGAATGAGCAGACAATACTCAAAAAAAGTAGAAATGGCCAATAAATATATGAAGAAATGCTTGATATCCTTGGCCATAAAGGAAATGCAAATCAAAATGACCTGAGAGTCCATCTCACTCCAGTCAGAATGGCTGTCATTAATAACAAAACAACAACAAATGCTGGCCAGGATGTGGGAAAAGGGGAATATTTGCACACTGTTGGTGGGAATGTAAACTAGTACAACTATAATGGAAAGCAGCATGTAGGTTGATCAAATCCCAAAAATAGGACTATCATATGATCCAGTGGTATCACTCCTGGGCATATACACAAAGGAATGTTGAACCAGAATACAATTAGAGCCATTTGCACTCAAAATGTTTACTGCAGCACTATTTACAATAGCCAAGCTTTGAAAATAGCCCAGATGCCCCACAACTGATGAATGGATTAAGAAAATGTGATATATATATATATACACACACACACACACACACAATGCAGTATTATTCAGCCATAAAGGAGAAAGAAATTATGCTATTTGCAGGTAAGTGGATGGAAATGGAGAACATTATGTTAAGTGAAATAAGCCAGGCTCCAAAGGTCATATGCTATACCTCATATGTGGAAGATAGACCTATAAAATAAATGTATACAGAAAGAGAGAGAGAGAGAACAAGATTGTATTAGTGGTTCTGTCTGAGGCACCATGGGAGGTGGGAGAGGGAGAGAGTGAAAAGTATTGAAATGGTGCATCTGTGTATGAAGGTAATATAATGTAACGCACTGTGAGCTGTGGAATATTAGGGGGGCAGGGCAACAGAAAGAGAGTAAGTAAGAGGGGGGTTAATCTGATTAAACAATGATATATACCTGTCTGAAATGCTAAAACAAAGCCCCCTTGAACTATCAATACGCACTTTAAAAAATGAAGGACAGGAAGGTAAAACAGGTCCTTTCTGGTGATGGTACCAATGTGGAGATGGCATAAGGAAAGGGTGAAGAAAGGCAAATATGGTAGATGTATTTTGTATTCATATATGAAAGTAGAGTAATAAAACCTGTTGAAATTGTTTTAAAAAGATGAAAGGGGGGCAGAAGAGAGAACAATGGAGGGGATAAATCTAAATAAAATATTATAAGCACATGCATAATTATCACAAGATATTCCCCCTGTACAATATTGCATGCTTATAAAAAAAACCCAGCTTGGTAGGTTTTTTTTTATTATGCTGGGTGGGAGTACATTGTGGCATTTACACAGGTTCTTACAATGAATCAAATATATCAACATGAATTCACACCCCCTACCATTCCCCTTTTATCCCCTTCCTATTCTTGAAGTAGTTTCAACAGGTATCATTTTACATTTACCTACATGTGTACACATTGTTTGCACTGTATTTACTCTCCTACCTCCTTTCCCCATCATCTTCCCGCTCCCACTGGTGCCAGTCCTAGCCCCTGGGCAGGACTTGTTCCCCCTCCTATTCTCCCATTTTGTAGAAGAAAAAAGAGAAAACAAAACGAAAAACATGACATTTTAGCTTGTTTTAGATAAAGATAGCTACACAGGGAGTTTCCTTGTGATATTTCCAGTTTTTAAAATATTACGCATAAATTTGCCATAGAACTCCACAGTTTTATTTGTAGCTATACACCCAATGAAATTGAAAATCTGTGTCCACAGAAAAATTTGTAAGTGAATGTTCACAGCAGCACTGTTCATAATAGACAAAATGTGGAAACAACCTTAATATCTATCAACTAATGAATAAAGGCAGTGATAGAGCTACACAATGGAATGCTACTCAGCAATAAAAAGAATGAACTACTGGTAGGTGCAATGATGTAGATAAACCTCAAATACATTATGCTAAACGAAGGAAGCCAGATGCAAAAAGCCATGCACTTAGGATTCCACTTCTATGAAATGCTATCAAAGCACCCAGTAGAAACAGAAAGTATATTGGTGGTTATCTGGGCCAGATGTGGGAATGGCAATGACTGCAAGTGATGATGGAGATGTTCTAAAAATGGATTGTTGTGATAGTTGCATAACTCTGTAAAATTACGAAAAATAATTGAACTATAAGCTTAAAGTACATGAATTTTGTGGTACAGAAGTATCTCAGTAATTTTTAAACACCTCTTTTAAAAATGCTATTTACTGGACACATCAAAAGAAACAGTTGCCAGAATTGAGAGACATTCCATACAATGGGAGAAAATCTTAGCCAGCTAATCAATCCCAGCAGATAGGGATTGATATCCAGAATAAACAAAGAGCTCAAAAAACTAAATAGAAGAACAAATAATGCAATTAATAAATGGGCAAATTAATTGAATAGACAGTTCTCAGAAGAAATACAAATGGCTAATAAATACATGAAGCAATGTTCAATATCTTTAGTCATGAAGGAAATGTAAATCAAAACTACCTAAGAGTCCATCTCACCCTAGTCAGATCAGTAATCATCAAGAAAACAACAAATGCTGGTGAGGATGTGGAGGGTGGGGAGGAAGGAACACTTAAACACTTGTTGGTGAGAATGTTAACTAGTGCAACTACTATGGAAATCAGTATGGAGGTTCCTCAAAAACTGAAAATAGACTTACCTTATGACCCTGCTGTACCACTCATGGGCATATATCTGAAGGAATGTAAATCAACAGACAAGAGAGATACCTGCATACTCATGTTTATTGCACCTCTCTTCACAATAGCCAAACTGTGTAATCAGTTGATGAATGGATTATATATATATATATATAATGACATTTTCAGGAAAATGGATGGAACTGAAGATCATCATGCTGAGTGCAAAAGGACAAATGTTACGTTCTTGCTCATTTGTGGAACCTAGTCTTAAAATGATGATGACGATAATAATGATAGAACATGAATTTATATGGGTGACTGGAGGGAATTAGAGAAAGGAGAGAAGGAAAGTATACTGAGAGGTAAATAGGATGAAAGTATGCTGGATATATACATATGAAGACAGCATAATGTAAACCACCAAACAGAAGAAAGGGGAAGAGGGAATGAGAATAAAATGGAGGGGTGAACTTGCTCAAGGCATACTGGACACATGTATGGAATTATCACAATGAAATCCCCTTGTACTATTAATATATGATAAATCAAAAATAAAAATAATATTTTCTGGACTGCAATTTCATTTGAAAGTAGAAGTATACAAAAAATCTCAGGGACTCTCACTTCTTAGGTGGAGTGGCAAATTTCATGAATCTAGGTGTACACAATTTCAAGAGGGTGTAGAAAGAAGTAGACTAGCTCTTGATCCTTCTTATCCTTAGGGAAGGTGTCTGTAAGCAAGTTTGCTTTGCACACAAAATAACAGGTACAGTGTTGGAATGTTTACAAGGAATAGACTTAATAATTTCCAAGCATTTAGCAGCACCCACTTTTTTTTTTTTTTTTGCTGCTGGCATTTTAAATAATAAATTTAATTATTTCTGAAGTTAAGAAAGTTCAGACTTTAAAAAGACAATGATTCACCTCTATCAAAATAACTTTTATCTCTTCCTAAGATTCTTTTTTTTATTGTTTTATTATTCATATGTGCATACAATGCTTGGGTCATTTCTCCCCCCTGCCCCCACCCCCTCCCTTACCACCCACTCCGCCCCCTCCCTCTCCCCTCTACCCCCTCAATACCCAGCATAAACTATTTTGCCCTTATTTCTAATTTTGTTGTAGAGAGAGTATAAGCCATAATAGGAAGGAACAAGTGTTTTTGCTGGTTGAGATAAGGATAGCTATACAGGGAGTTGACTCGCATTGCTTTCCTGTGCGTGTGTGTTACCTTCTAGGTTAATTCTTCTTGATCTAACCTTTTCTCTAGTTCCTGGTCCCCTTCTCCTATTGGCCTCAGTTGCTTTTAAGGTATCTGCTTTAGTTTCTCTGCATTGAGGGCAACAAATGCTAGCTAATTTTTAAGGTGTCTTACCTATCCTCACCCCTCCCTTGTGTGCTCTCGCTTTTATCATGCAGCACCCACTTTGATACAAGAATCTGCTTGTATTAAGTATCCTTAAACATGAAAATAGACACTCTAATACCTCTGCAACAAATCTTTTGACAACATCATTGAAGTTCCTGCACTTAATAGTATCTAACTCAGACAACTCATTAGATTCAATGTGTCTTTCCAACTTCATACAGTTTTGTTCAAATGAGAGGCATGCAAAACTCATTTGTGCCATTAATAATCTAACTATACCTTGGCCAAGAATATATACAGATATTATGCACACACATATTTTAAAGAACAAAGGCTGTAAAATAGCTAAAAGGCCAATTAACTTTTGGTAGCTGAGGATACATTTTTGTCTCTAATAATATAATCACATACCTGGAATGCGAAGGACCTCTTTCCTGGGAAGTTTGGGAGGAGAGGCTTCCATCAAAGGAGTTTCCTCGATGACAGCCAGAAATGGTGTCCTTGGGTGAGATGGAATCAGACTGGAATGTTTCACAGACCACCTGGAGTCCCTTTAGGAATGGTAAATTAATGTTTTTTTTTCCCTTTAAGCATATTCTCTAGAATTTGTTCTCTATTACATATGCAGTTCAATATATGGGTTTTTTTCAGCATAACTAACTATAATGTCATAGACCAAGAGATTTTGACTTTGTCCAAAAGGAAATGGAAACAGATTTTTAAAAAGCACCTGTGAAATTCCATGCATTAGTCTAAGTACTTTAATAAATGTTATTTCATTTTGCCCTTGAATTTTCTTTTTCACCTCTATATCCAGTATCTATAGGAGTGTTATAAAACTTACATTTCATCAAAGATATGCCAATACTGCAGAGAACCCAACAGAGGTGTTAGGCTAAAGACTAGCACCAGGTTAGCAGGAGGTAATTAAATTAAAGCCAGCACAGGAGAATGGAAGTGCAAGGTTCAAATTTTTCATCATTCATCAGGGGGAGAATGAAATACATTTTTCAGTTGCCATGACAACCTTTACTCTTATTTATAAGTACATGCTCAACAATTCTCTTACCAAGTAGCTTATTTTAATTACGTTTAGCTGGTAAATGTAATTTTTCCCAGGTAATATGAAATATTTTCAATAGGCATTGCAGATTAAATGCTTCATTATAGTATAAAAACCTTCAAAAATCTATCATGGTATTTTAGCACTTACATGATTTTCATACACAAAACAAAGTATGATTCAACCATAATTTGCAGAAAAACAAAAATAGAAATTTCATGAATAAATCTTCTGAATTTGACTTAAGAATCCTATAGTACAAGTATACTATGTATGTTTCATGTTAGATGATTTGGGAGATTTTGAAAAAATTAGAGGGCTGTTTCAAGCCAGGAAGGACAGAGGTAGAAAATCCAATTAGGTGGTTCAAGCTGCAATCAAGTTATGAGGCCCTTGATTTAGAGGGCAGTAGTGGGCATAGAGAATAAAAATACATCTTAGCAACATAGTGAAAAAGAAAACAATATGACTTGGCAAGAAATCAAAAGAGAGGATAAAGTCCAGAAAAATATGAGCTTTACATATTTCACTGTATTTAAGATGTCACCATTTATAAGACACTTTATTTTATGCACCACTAAGAAAAAGAGACTCTGTTAACTAAACTAGGACACTTGACTTATCAGCAAAGACTTTTTATTATAGACTTACTAAAGGAGCTATTTTAGGCTTACTTAGCCCTAGCTTTTGATTATATATCTCTATCTGTATATATATATATCCATCCTATATACATGTAAAGGGAGAGTATGAGGAAATTGAATTGGTATAGGTATTTCTAAAATGTCTTCATATTTAGAATTCTCAACTCAGAGATGTTAATATTTGAGCTTTTCTAAAGCATAACTTTCTTTGTGTCAAGAGTGTTATCTCATAAAAGAGTTATTTCTAAAACGAGTACTCCATTATCCTCTCTGACTTTCTTCTCAGTCACCAACCATGATACTGCAAATTTTGATGCTGGAAACAACAAATTCATGCTCACAGAATGACAGTCATATCAAAAGCTACCAGGCAGGGAGACTGTAGGAAGGCAAAGATTGTCAGGCACCTTCAATTTCAAAGATGCTGAATATGAAAAATATACAAACCTAAAAGCATATAAATAATAAGGTAAACAATTGTTCAGTAAATGGTAGTTATGCTAGAACTCTAAAATTTCCAGTTAGAGGGTAAAAAAGGCTGGAGATATTCCTGACCACAGTATATCAATTGAAAAGAGGATCCAATTTTGATTGAAGGCATTCAGTTTCACTTTGTAGAAGTCGAATTGAAAGTGAAGACAGGTCATCTAATGACAAGATAATAGTAGTATGCATTTCTATGTAGTTTTCACCTATCCTGGCCTTCATTTTTTTCTTGCATGAACCAAATGTGAGAAATTTGCATTGAACTATATAGTTTCATTTTTCATATTCCATTTTAGATGGCTAAATTTGACTCTATTAAGCTTTAGATTTATTAATAGGTGGCACTGCACTTTATGCCCTCCCTCCTCCTCCCTCCTTCCACTCCCTGAGATACTATTTAACCTATATTGTACTTACCTTAACAACTTAAAGGATTCAATAATTGAGAACTGGATGATACCTTATTTAATGTGAGATGAAAAATGACAACATGTATTAAATGTTACATGGCAGCCACTGAGATAAAAGCACTACTAATCACACACTAATCATTGAGATAAAATACTAGTCATACACAGTATTTTTCAGTGGCTGTATACTTGGAAGATACATAAAATTAATTGTCACATGTGACTGAGACAAAACTTGAGGCTGCTAAAAGTTGTACCTTCAAGGAGGAAGAGAGGGCTTTGAGTTCTGCAGTATGAATTTAGAACTATGTCTTATCCTTTATAGCACACTTCATCAAAGAATTCCTTCTTCCCTTTTCTCAAAATTATAATGAACTAACCTCTCTGTGTCTTGTGTCTTGATTAGGTGATTCACAGGTCTGACTTTGACTGTTGATAGGAGAACTTCTTTTGGCTGCCAAGATGAGAGAAATTCCATCATGAAGATTATAAATGAACTTATTCTATAAGTTAATTTCATCTTCAAATAAAAGCCCATTTTAATAGATAATTTAATGATTTTAATAGATCCTGATCACAGTGAAAGGAGACATTTAATAACACATGTTGTAAGAGAAATAAAATAGCCAATTCAAAAATCTTAGCATTTTTCAGTTATGAATGTTTTAATCTCTTCAGTCTGACTCAGAAGGTAAAGGTGCTAAAAAGTTGGCAACACTAAGAATAACAATAGGTACCATCTACTCAGCAATTACTACATGCATTTGCCTGTTCTAAGCATTTTACATGCATTATCTAACTTAACCCTTTCAGTAGCCCAATAGTAATGCTATATTATTATAATGCTCATTTTACAGATGAAGAAACCAAGGCACAGGAAGCTTAACTTACCAGCCAGCCTGCCTGACTCGAGTCTGTGTTTTAACTACCACATTAATCTGTCCCCAAGGGAAGGCTCAAGTCAGTCACATCTTTACCTTAGGGTCAGGAACAGTGGGAAACTAGGTAGCAATGCTTCACTTAAGTGGTGAGAAAGTAAACTGTGTTGAGAAGGAAAGTGATTTGCCAAGGTCACAATCAGGCATCGCTTTTTCTGTGTTGTCTAAGCTGAGTCTAATTTCCCCTCAGATTCTGGGCAGATTCTGGGTACCCTTTCAAGTCCATGAGATCAGGCACAGGGGAAAGAAACCAATTTTGAGTATTTTCTAAAAGCAAAGGGAGGGTGAGGTGAATAGTCAAGGACTTTCATAGAGGGCCACAGTTTCATAGTAGCTTTTATATATGTGCTAAATGATAGTTTATGTATTAATCAAAAAGAGATGGGGCTGGAGGTAAAACTCAGTGGTATAATAGTAGGCTAGACTGCATGGGGCCCTAGGTTCAATCCCTAGCACTGCACAGGGGAGAGAGAGAGAGAGAGAGAAAGAGAGACAGAGAGAGAGAGAGAGAGAGAGAGAGAGAGAGAGAGAGAGAGAGAGAAACAGAGAGAGAAAAGAAGAAGGAGGAGGAGGAGAAGAAGAAGGAGAAGGAGAAGAAGAGGAAGAAAAAGAAGAAAAGAATGAGAGAGGAGGAGGAGAAGAAGAAGAGGAAATAGGAGGATGAAAATAATAGGAAGACAAACTATCAAAAAATTAAGTTTTTTTAATCACATACCATAAAGATATGAGACACGTTTTTTTCACTAATAATTTTGTTATACTTACAAATGTTTACTCTCTTCTGCTGTATGTCTATTGTTCTGGAAATCATCTTACATCTGTCCTATACTCACTCTCCAGTAGTTTAAATCTAAAGTAATTAACTTCATTCCATGCATAGAATCTGAGTAGATTCCTGGTTATGACACCTTTTCCTATTTAGTTTCTTGACATTTGAAACTATGACAGACTTCATACTTGAATTTATATTTCATGAGTTAATATTTTATATGCGTGTAAGTTGTGGAATTAATCTACTTTTAGTATGTGACAAAGTTCACTCTTCTTTCCAGTAGCTCTATTTTTTACTTTAAGCATCTTATAAATATGTGTCTAGTATGGCATTCCCTGGTCACACAGATTCCTTAGCATATTATGTACCTTTTAAGGGTGTGTTAGGTAATGTGGAAAAAAATGCATGTAAGAACTTGTTTCCATTTAGAAAGCTCTTTTATATGCATTTTACTCCACTGTCTGCATGAAAGCCTTATGAAGTAAGCAAACTGTATAAATATATGTGTGTATATGTTTGTGAACATATGCTTCTGTGGACTTACCACATGATTTTTTTGTTTTCAAGTTTTGTTAGTGATGTTAAAATAGAGTTGAGACTAAAAGGGTGGGATTTTAAAGCACTTACTATAAAATGGGCAGTTTATGTGCATCTTCATTTACTGCTAACTAAGAAACCATATAAAGTGGCATATTATTTCTATTTTACATTAATGGAAATGCTCAGGAAAGTTAGGGCCCATACATAGCAAGAGATAGATATGGAGTGAAGTGTGAGTCTACTGTTTACTGTTTAATTTATCATGTTGTGCTTTTCTTACAATTCAACAATATGGCTATCTCATTAGACACTTGCTAAAGCAAAATGCTTTGATAGCAATGAAACACTATGATGAGATTGTTAAGGAATAATCTACCTCGATTTACCATGATGACGATAAAATAATAACTAATAATAGATCTTGCTTATTCACTTACTATGAGCCAGGCATTCTTCTAAGCTGTTTTACGTATTTTAATGCATTTATTTCTCATAATATTCCTGCAAGTAATATTAATATGATTTTTTAATTCCCATTTTACATATGAGGGAACTGAGGTACAGACATGTACTACTACTCAAAGTCATGTAATAGACTCAAATGTCCCTCATTTGGCATTTTGTCTCATGTGAATAAGCCCTATACCAGAGATTCCTAGATAACCTCTCAGACATATTTACTTTCTCTTAGCTTCTTAAAGACAAATAATCCCATCACCCTTACTCCTGTACATGAGGGAATCTGCTAATACCACAACATTGGATGTCTGAGTCACGAACCTGTAATGATGTTCCTGACGGGCTTTACCAGTGCTGTGAAGCCAGAGACTTCGGGCTGTCTGTGCTCCCACATAGGCTGCCATATAACAAGCCCACTGGCCAGTCGGAAGGTGAGGTCAGATTCCTGGGGGCAGAGAAGATCTATATCCAGTAACTGCCTTGTACCAGTCAATGCATCATTATTTACAGATTATTGTCAGAGGAGGACAATCTGCTAAACTTCTTTCACTACCCAGATAAGTATTTCTAGTGTAAACCAATGACCCTAAGTTATCACTGAAATGGCAACAGAAATCACAGCAATCTGCTTCATGCAAAATAAGTAATTAATCAAAATGTAGCTTTGAAAAACATGGAACATACAAAGTGTTGTTTTGTGTTTGCTGTAATGGAGACCTTTTATTACAAGAGTATTAGCAGAACTCTTCAGTCATGGTTACATTATCATTTCTCTTAATTATAAAATTATTCCTATTTCTCTCTCATAAGGCAATACCCTTGGTGGCTGGCTATGGTGACTTTCTATTCTCCAGTTCATCTCCATCTTGCATTTCATTGAATCAGGTAAATATACTTCGACCCTTCAGAGTGTGCTTATTTTGTAATGTTCCCTACTTCCTTAGAGGCAGTGATACATCAAGCATCCTCTTCCTTCTGAGCCACCAGCATCATCCCAGCTCTTAAGACAACATTTATAATTGTGTGCACAACAAATATTCTGTAAATACTTGCTGAATTGGGATTGAGTTACAACCCATGCCCACATGATTTATCTATAATTGAAAGTTCCTCCATAAACACATTCTCTGCTTCATTGCTACTTTATTTTTAGAGGCTGAGGTTTTAAAATGCAGGCCATATTATAGAAGTCCAAATATATGGCATTGTGAAATTACATCTTAAGCAACTCAGCCTCACAAATAGTGGGAAAATGGAAGCAGATAATGTGATTGAAGACTAATGAACACAGCTGAAACCCAGAAATTCACTTAGGACAGTGGTTTGCAACTCTGATTTCATTACTATAATCACCTAGGAGCTCTAAAACATAGGAAGCTAAGGGCTCACCTACCTCTCCTACCCAAACTCATTAAATTAGAATCTCTGTGAGGTTTATTAAAGTTCCCCTATCATATGTGACCATCACATGCAGTCATAGCTGAAAACCACTGAGCTAGAAGGATAAAAGTTGGGAAGAAATTAGAAAAATAGAAAAAGGCAAGTAGTTCTTCAAATGGTGAATTGATTATTCAGCTGAAAAGGCTGATAAAAATCCCTGGATAAGTTCGCCCATTGGTAGAGAGGCCTTTATCCAAAGCTAAAGACCAGGCTGGGGTCCTGCCATCATTAGAAGCAGAGACACAGAGTAACAACAATGAAAAGGCCTCTAGGTTCTCCATAGTAACATTAGGATAGTTCACAGAATATTTAGTCAAATGCATCCCATGCTTATTCCACAAATATTTATAGAGCACATACCATGCACCTGGTGCTATTCTAGGTTCTTGAATACAACAGGGAACAGAGTATACAGAAGTCCCTGTTCACAGTGCAAAAGAGACGTAAATCAGGTGAAGGGATGCATCAGGCAAGGTGTTAACTTCTTAGTCAAGAAGGCCATGGGAACCATAGTGAGAAGGTGGCTTTTGAGACAAGATCTAAATGGAATAAGGCAGCTACCATGTAGATGTCTCTAGAAAAAATATTCCATGGGAATGGATTGGCAAGTGCAAAGGCCCTATGTTTGCATATTGTGTCAAGAAACAGCCAATAAACTGAATGCCTGGAGTCAAGAGAATGAGAGGGAGAGTAGAAAAAATAAGATCGGGCAGTCATCAATTGCTAGACAGATAATTTATTGCCTGATTGGACATAGTAAGGACTTCAGCAATTACTGTGGAAGAAGGTAAGTTACTGGAGGGTTTTGAGCAGCACAGTGGCATGGCTGGACATGTTTGAATAAGTTCACTTATTGTTGAGAATAGTTTGAGAAAGGATAAAGGTGGAAGGAGAGACAATTTGGAAAGCTATTGTTATCACCTAAGTGAAAGATGGTTAGAGTAGGGTGAGAGTAGAGAGAAAAATTAGAAGTGGTACAATCTAAATGGAAATATAGTTACAAAGTTTGCTACATGCTAGGAAGTGGAGTGTGACACAGCAAGGTGTCAAGGACTTTTGGCATTGGCATTAATAAAGCTGGGTAATGTGCAGAGCAGCAATACCTGACATAGTAAGGATGGGATGCTGTTTAGATGTTCAACTTGAGATACTAAAGAAGCAGCTACACAGATAAGTCAAGAGGTTAGGGGACAGTAATCTCAATTCCCTTGAAATATATTTGGAGGAAGTCTGCACATACCATCCAGCAAACAGGGAACTAACATTAAGCAAGGCTTATCAGATTTGCCTCCAGAATTACAGGAAGCCAAACCTCAATTGACCTGGTTGTAATGATTTCTTAGTTTCTGACCACAATCTTTTTCTATGCTTCTTACAAATAATCTTAACACAAATAAGACCTCAGTAGAAATTGCTGCAGGAAGTGTTAAAGTCTCCTGAACCAAAATGCTGGCCTTTAACATCTGCTATACGGGTGTGACACTTTACACTCACTGACATTTACTGTTATCATTTTGCTTTATTTGGTGTATTCATAACTAGGTTAAAACTATTATTTTTCAAGAGAAGTTGAGATCTTCTCAAGCATTTCCTCCTCAGCATCCATACACAATCATTGATTAAGTTAACGTATTTCCACTTTCTCCAAACAATACCAATGAACTCCAGTAGCCCGTAAGACTTGAATACATATAGAACCTATGGCTCCTCCTTTGTGGGTGTGTTCCTTTGTAATTCTTAAGTTGACGGACTATCTGAACACTGGGACCCTAATTTTTCTCCTATAGTCTCCTTTAAGAAGACATCTAAACAGTAGTTGGAGAAGACACTTTCTGGTATTCAAACAGTTGTAGAGCTGGTAGAGGTAAAGAAGTCCTGAGGAAAAAAAGAAGGTATAGACACTGGTAGAATCTCTATCTACACATTACAGGTACTTTCCTTGCTTTTACCAATGTCTGTTTCCATGATTTCATGAGGCAATTCCTACCAGAAATAGGACAGAGTTAATTAAAAGTGAATGCTTTAGAAAACTAGACTGGGGTAAAAAGACTCATTAGTCCATCTCCCTCACAGTAGTTGCCAGTGGCCATAGTCACCTTCATATATACATTGCTAATTTGAACACCTATTCATTACGGTCATAATATTCTACTGAAAGTCACTTTAGCATCCAAATTCCTTCTTGTCTCTTGTCATAGCATTCAGATGGAATATGAGATTATGCGTCTTCACCCTATATTATATCCACAATTTTCTGCAATTGAGGATCTAAGAGGTTAAGTAATATCACCAGGGTCACACATCTAGAAAGTGGGAGCACAATGATTTCAAGTTATATTTTCTTTTATAAATCCAAATGATAAATAAATGTAATCACATTAAAAGATAATTTGTTTCTGTACAATCCCATATTTTCTGTTTTGAAATATTAAAAATGCAATTCTTAGGCAGTAGCTAACTGTCAAAAAGTTCATAAGACACAAAAACTTAAAACTTCTGCTTTGGGTCCCATATAACAATAGAGGTAATTATAAAATGCTACAAAAATTATAAAGTAGATGGTGACTAAGTCTGCATGAGAAAGGTCTAAGTAACAGCTTCATGGAAATGATGACTTTGAAATTGGAGTCTGAAGGACGATGAGAAGAAGAGACAAGAGGCAGATCAAACAGCAAGAGCATACTCAGGAAATGGCTACCAAGGCTAAATCAGAAGGTGGCTGGTGGAGATTGACAGTTGATAACCCAAGAAAGGAATTTAAGCCCTAGAACATGCTTCACCTTATATACCATATCTAAGTGTTGGGTTTTATCTTGAGACAGATGAATTACCATAGAAGATTTTTTAAGTAGGTAAAGAATATGTGAGTATTTGAGTTTTTGGAGTAATGTTCACTAGTTTAACATAAAAATAAAACTTTCTGTGCTTTGACTTTCTGTAAGACCACACAAAGACATGCACAAACAAATACAGATATATCTTTTGTAGCCCATCCTCCACTCATCTCCATAGCACCTGAGCCCTGAAGCTAGCTTACTGCTTACTTTGATCCTATGTACCAGAGGAGCAAACAGAAACACGAAAAGCTCCACAGTCGCCATGGAGTTCTGGAAGATCTTCCTTCGGTTGTTCTCTTCTTCATCATTGGAACTGCTTTGGCAAGGCTGCCCTGGAGAACCCTGGTTTTCCACCTGGTGGATGAACGCGCTGCTGCTGCCACCCCAGCTGGAGCCTCTTTCTGTGGCCCCAAACCGCTCACTGTTGCAGTCCTGGGGGGCCTCCAAGAGCATCCAGTGCAGGGTGTGAAGGAGTTTTGTCTCAGCAACACCCAGTTTATCCTGGTGGCCTGCATGGCACAACCACATGGTCAGATAAAGGTAAGCTATGTGAGCTCAGCAATGAATATCAACCTTTGGTCTGGGTAGAATATCTCTACTTTGCTCTGTGGCTCAGTTTTCCAGGAGGCACTAGCATTTCTCTATATTTCTAAGAACCACTGGTGGCAAAGCTCCTTGTTTTTTGGATTTTCTTACTGGCTGCAATCTCTGCACATAGGTAGAATCTGCATGAATCAAGTCTCATTAGTCAGATACCCAAATATTCCCAAGTAGGCAGTAGTGGTTGAAAGTGTAGTCTCTGATGAAGATAGCCACTATTCTATTTTAGACAACATGATCTAGAAAGCCCTTCTACATGTAACATCTGAGCAGAGACCCAAAGTAGTGAAGGGAGTGGGATACACACCAGCACATGAAATAATCTTTATGTACACAAACACATGTAGTACTACAAAACTGGAGAAGTGTCATGGGAGAATCTGCCAAATTTAGGAATTGGAAGAATAAAGAGGAAATGCCAGACAGGACTCATCTTAGGTAAATGAGAGTCTTTAGCTAAACTCTAATATTTTAACATTCCAGAGGAGAATGTATTCGTATACTACTTATGAAATAAAAACAAGATATTCAGCTCCCTCATTGGTAAAACGGAAATCATGATGGTACTGATATGAGGGAAATTTTGTGATAATTAAATGAGATAATGGGTGCACAGGGCCTAGGATGACACAACCCCTCAAGACATGCTGCTTTTAGGAGCACTGAACACAAAAGACAATGGTATGCAATACAGCGTGAGGCAGGAGCACCAACCTAGCTTGTTCCTGTTTGAAAGCAGAGTTGCTGTGCAATGAAGAACATGTGGAAGGGCGGCTTGTACCAGCTCCCATCTGGAAATGCTCTGGATGGCTTCAGAGAGTGCTGGAGACAGGCCATGCAACTTATTTTCCACCAATACTCGTTCAAAGGACTATAGATTTAAAAAAAAAAAAGCACGAAAATAAGGAATATTCTAGTTGTTTAAAAAAATGGACATCAAGGTACTATCATATCCTAACAGATGTAAATCACTGGTCCTAGTTCTTTAGATGCATCAGATGTATGTATATGTTGACCAGCAGTCATAATTTCCTATTAATTGTCTATTGTAGGCTATTTTTTTTTCTTATTTGTGATACTGGTGATTGAACTCAGGGCCTCTGATTCCTAGGCACATGCTCTTCCACTCGAGCCACACCCCCAGCCCTTTTACTTTATTTATTTATTTATTTTAAAATTTCTCCCTCCTGCTTTTATTTTATTTTTTCCTACATGGTCTCACACATTTGCCTGTGCTGGCCTAGGACCTCAATCCTCCTGCCTCAGTTTCCTGAATAGCTGGGAATTACAGAATTGTACTACCATGCCCAGCCTTCTTTGCAGGCTTTTGATCCTATTTTTTGAATTATTAAGTGATCTTTAATAGTTATAAATAAGCTTCTAGATACACTTCCTCTAACAAAAAACACACTTAACCTCAAGAGATTTTTTAATATAATTTATAAAATGTTGATGTGTCATCAAAGGGGTTGTCACAGTGGCAGACCAAAATGAAATGTGTTTCCTGAAAACATCTTGAGAGACAGAATTTGTGTCAATTTGTTCAACAGGTACTAGGGCCTCTGATTTATTCCATGTTCCCAGAAATGATCCAGCACAGAACCTTCTTAACCTAATCCCTGGAACTACAAAAACCACTTAATATCTTTTGAATACCTAGAGGAAAGGAGGCAAAGAAGAAGTTGAACAGGGAAATAGGCCATCTTTGCTTTGCTTTTTATGAAGACTTTTCTTACTAAATAAGCTTTCAGAGAGAGTAGCATCCTAGAACAGGAAACAACTTTCACCTATTCAGTTTTGGTTTTTGATTTTTGTTTTGTTTTGTTTTAATTTGACTTTTTGAGGGTGGAGAATGTCACTACAAGTTATTGGGGATTAAATACTGTTAATATAGTTAATGAAGATTTAACTCGTAAGAATGAGATTAGTGCTTGATTTCCCCAAATGGTCAAGAAATATGTGTAATTGTCATATGAAAGGATCACAATATTAGTCCCAAGTGTTCTGACTGTTTTATTGAAATGACCAGGGTGTTTGTGGAAGAAAAACTGGTTTACTACAGAGAATACCCAGTGAAACTTGTTTACTTTTTGATTCAAAAAAGGAAAATAAGAAATTTACCTTCAGGGAGTGGAGGTGTGGCTCAAGTGATAGAGCACCTGCTTTGCAAGCATGAAGCCCTGAGTTCAAACCCCAGTCCCACCAAAAACAAAGAAATTCATCTTCATAAAGGAAAGGTACACTGAGGTTTTGGTAAGGAGCACAACTTTTCTTTTTAGAGATATTAAACAAAGGCCTTTAGATATGTTGGAGGTGCAGATCCAAATACGTTAAAGTTCCCCAGTCCTCATGTATCTAAGAATTCATTAAGTGAAAGATGTGTTAGACACTAAAAGATTATAAAGAATTTATATAGTCTAATGAATACATCAAAGAGGAGTGATTATGTATTTCATAATCTCATGGAGTTCTGGGTAGTTAATATCATTTTCTTTTTAAATGTTACTAGTATAACTTTTTAAACAATTCTTTAAACACTGGAAATTGTCTGTATTCATGCCTGTATATCTTGTTCCTTATCTACCTCTCCATAAATGTAACTTAGCTATTTCATATTCTGTGACTACATTAAAAACGTTAAGACATATCTTTGCTAAGAACAGAGAAAAGTCATGGTTATTTTAAGCTAGAGTAATTGTCAGCATGGTTTAAACAAAGCTTAGAGATTTCAAGTGTCAAATTATTTTAACGAGATAGGGACAGCAAGAAATTCTATTAACAGGACCTTATTAGAAAGTTATATATTAAAGATGTGTCTGTGACAATGTTGAAGGACAGGGGACTCCACAAAACAAAATTCTATTTGGTGTGTGTGCCTGTGTGCTTGTGTGTGTGTATGTGTGCGCGTGTTTGGCTCTCCAGCTGGATTTGTCATAATTTGTGGCTCCTACACACTTCAGAGCCCCTTATCAGAAGGCCATTCATGTAGGTATTTGTAAATATGCATGCAGCTTTCTATTTTTACAGTATATAATGCATTAAATATAAAAGCTCCAATCATAATGAAGGCTACTAACAGCTATTTCAATTTTGCTTCATGACTTCATGTCTTATTTTCTCAATTTGCAAAATAAGAATTTGTAAGGATATGGGATGTTCTTATAACCTCAGGTCAAGTGCACTTTATTTTGTATGAGTATTTGTGGCACTATTTTTATAATTATTTTATATTATTCACTTTCTAGCTTGCAGAATATACACAAGATGTATAAATACAGAACTGCATATTATTTTGTTCAGGATAGTTCATAGGCGCTCATCATATGAACCTCTGCTACGTAATAGTCTTCATTTTGTTGATTCATAATTTGACTTTTCACATTTGCCCTGAAAGGCCCTCCACCACCTGGTTGTATCTCTCGTCTACTACTCAGCCCCTCCCCACCCTTCCACTTACTGCCCACTGGGTTCCTCCCTCACCCTGTGATTCCAACCTTCCTTCCTTCACATCTTTGCCTAAGCACTCCACTAGTAATTAATCCTTATCCACCCACTGTTTATAAAATAAAACCCCCAGTTCAGTGCTTCCTCATCTCCTTTGCTTTTTAATTTTCTTTCTTTTTTCCCATAGCACTTATCATCGTCATCTGGCTTATTATGTATTTTATGTGCATATTTGTTTGTGACTTGTCCACCTCCACCGTAAATGTCATATTTGTTTTTGTTTTGTCTTCACTCTACCCCAACAGTAGAACTGTGCCTGGCACAGAGTGGGTACTCAATAATATTTGCCAAATGAATTAATACATACAACCGGTATGATTTAGTCTTTCTTAAGGTTCAAATTACTATACGTAATATGGAAATAATCATTAAATGGTGAAAATCACATACCACACAAGAAGCTTCATATTGCTTCCCCAGTTTAGGTCTCAAAAATGCACTGAAAAATTAATAGAGATTTTTGTTATAAACATGAGCAAAATCATTATTAAAGCATCCTTACGATATATTTTTCAATGCATAAGACACAGTGCTGTGACACTAAAATTTCATTCTTCCTTATAGCTTGTCGATGAGCGGTGTGGAACAGCTGACAGCATTTGCTTTTACACGTGTAATTATATATATGAAAAAGACGTGGACCTCTCAATTTTCCGTGTCCACTTTTATTCTGAGGACTTTTGCCTAATCAGATTCTCTACCGCCAATGGTCAGGAGTGGTGCATTACTCATGTGTGCGGTCATAGCAAAAAACCAAAAGATGAATCTGGCTGTGTGGTTCATGATTTCTAGAATCTAATTTCTTATCTGCTAAATCTCTAAAATAATAATAATAATAATAATAATCTTTCCTGACTGTTTATTGGAATACGTATAAGACCTGCCCAGAGGGAAGAAATCCTTTATCAAAAATAATTTTCCTTGGAGGGGTTTTACCCAGGGAGATTACGCTGGCTGAATCCGAGCAAAAATGGTTAACAAGTGGGCAGAGCAGACATCCGCCAAACAGGAGCTGGCAAAACAACAGGTCACCGGGCTGGAATGACAGCAGGAGACGGAGGGGAAATTGGACTGGGAGCACAACCAGTCGTAATTACTGTCTCTGGCTCCCCGCCCCCTCTTCCCAGGCTCTCTGCCCTCCTACCCCTAAATAATGTATATATTTATTCGCGAACTGCCAATCTGCTTGTCGTCAAACTTCACTGGAATATTTTCTAAATGCGTGTTTCTAAGAGGGTGCTGAGGGCTTGCTTCTCCGGCCCCAGAGAGGGAGCTGCAGGCTGCGGCGCGGCCTCAGCTGCAGCGGCGTTGACAGCAGCGGCGACCCCGGGGACCCTGGAGCGGCCCCAGCCCCGGACGGCCGCAGCGCGCCCTCGGCGCCCCTCACCTGGTTTGGCGCCACAGGAAGGTCTGGATGGGCAGGGGGATGCCGCGGCCGCCGTCCTGCTCCTGGCCCTCGGAGCTCTTCCTCTTCACCATGATGGTGGCTCCTGGGAGTCCTACTGCAGGACCCAGCGCTGGCTCCTCGCTCGCGGCCGCCGCCGCCGCCTCCTCCTCCTCCCGCTGCTCCCCCCAGCTCTCATCCCCTCCTTCCCCGAGGCAGAGCTGGCTCTCTCCGCCCCGATCCCCCGTCTCTCGCCCGGGCCCCCACCCCTCCCCGCGCGTGGAACATGGCTGCGGGAGGAGGCGCGGGCTGGAGGCGCCGCGGGGCGGGGAGGGGGGCGCTCGCAGGAGCTGTCCACCTCGCCGCCCCCGCGCGCGCTCCTTGCTTTCAGCACCTCCCACTGTGGACAGCGGCCCGCGCCGGGCGGCGGGGCGGGCGAGGCGAGTCCAGGGCAGGTGCAGCGGCAGGGGGATGGCTCAGAGAGTCCACGTTCTGCATGGCATGCGCATGCCAGTCCCCCGCGCGGCCTCTCCGGCACCCAGATTCGGCTTGCTGCACCCTACCAGTGTCCCCTGTCCTGCTTCCCAACCTCTGCAGCCCAAAGACTGTCACTGTCTGGGGAGGAGGAGCTTTGGAGAGCCGCAGAGCAGTCACTAGCCGTGGCATCATTCTCACCTCTAGCAAAGAGGTCGGAAGTCCACCTCGGGGTTTAGCAGGAAGGACGCATGAACGTCATTCGAAGTGCAAACCAGGCAGGGAGGCAAGCTGGCCAAGAGAGAGGAAGTTGAAAGTTCTCTGATGTGAAAATTTATGTTAAAATAGTAACCGCAAGAAGTTAAGCTTGTTTTGCCAAAGCGGGACGCAAATCCCCCAAACTAATCAGTTGTGATTGCAAATTGGGAGAGAACATTAGAATCGTCACGTGGGAAAAATACCGTTTATTACATCTCATTAAATGTGCTTTTGTGATCCTGTCCCTGTGATATCTGGCATTTTCCTTTAGTTGTAATAGTCAAAAGCCTATGTGGTTTATAGTTGCATTATTTTTACATGTATTACCTTGCAGAAAAACAAGTAGGGGTAGGGCGGGAGGGGGGTAAAGTAGTTTTATTAGAAAACCAATACTGGGGAATCCATCTACATGCAAACAAACAATCAAAATGAACACAGTCGTACACTTTTTTGAACAAAGATATTGGTATAACTCATAAAATGAAGAACCAAACCCTAGGCCTTTATCTCAACATACAGGAAACAATATTCCCTGCATAATTACCAACATGTGTAATTTCATATAAGGAAAACCACATGATATTTTCAGCCATGGAAATACACTTTTCATTTACTTTTTTGAAGTCATCTTTTAGTATGAATCTCAAAATACAGATCTTGAAACAAAGGAAGAGACTAAATACAGTTTATTGAAGCATATTTATGAAGCATTTTATATAACTGGAGCAATGCTATATTGATTGTTGCTCATCAGGGACTCATTATAGTAAAGAGAAGACAGACATTTAAAGAAAAGAGTTTCATGGGAAACATGAAATGAGTTCAGTTATGAGCGAAAGAATAAGGCAGAAAATAAAGGCAGGAATCAAACAGAAAAAGACTTTGTACTGTAAACTAAGAAGTTTGGAAAGGAAACCACTGAACAGTGAAGTAAAACTTCATTGCCATCTAAGTGCAGTATACAAGACAGAAATGTAGGTTGTTTGAAATAGGCAAGAGCTATAGATAGCTCTGGAGATTAGAAAATGTTCTTTGAGATTCTGAATCCAGGTCATGACAGCAGAGCTACAAATAAGGATGTGAGTTTGGATGATGTTGCAGAGATAGAATTAATAGAACTTGATGACCAAGTGGGCACAGGAAAGAATAAAGAACAGAATTGTTAAGAGCTTAGGTCTTAAGCCAGATGGTTTGGCTCTAGCCTTACCACTCTACTCTGAGAAAGCAGAAAACTCTGTGCCTATGCCCCCAAAGAATGGTACCTTCCCCAGAGAGACAAGAATAGAATGTAAATACTTATAAAGAATTTGAGAGCCCCTCATCTATGATAAGGCATCAGAAAACATTAACCAGAGCTCCAAGTTTTTAATTTTGAGCAGATGAATAAATGGTGATAACATTCAAAGCGGAAAAAGTTGACAGGGAGAAGAACTATGTTCTTATTTTTATGTGTATATGGGAGTATTAATGAGTCTTCCTTGATGTTCTATTAGAAATCCCAATAGATATCATTAAAAGGCAGCTAGAAAATGCATATGGAGTTCAGAAGAGTTAACTGGGTAGGATACTGTTTTATGGTTAACACTATGTAAAAAGTAGTTGAAACTATGAAAGTAGATAAAATACAGGTAACGCACGGAAAGTGAAAAGAAAGGGCCCAGTTTGGATGTACAGGAGTCATCAAGTTTAGTTTATTGTCACAAAGGATGCTGTCAAGAGCTGAAAACATGGGCTAGGATAGTGAGGCTAGCAGAATTCTAAAATGGCCCCTAAGGTTCCCACCGCTTGCTGTACGCACATATGTTCTCTTAATTACTCAGTGAAATTCTACTTTTGGTGCTACTATGAAGCAATTTTCATAAACTTCCTGGAGTTTTTAAAACATTACTAATATATTGTCTTTCTTAGAGTTTACAGAAAATTTGAACAGACATGACAAAGTTCTAATATACTCATCCACAGTTTTTCTTGTTATTAACATTTTATCTTGATGTGATATATTTGTTATTATTATTATTAACTCAAATCCATAGTTTACATTAAAGTTCACTGAGTCATACAGTTATGTAGGTTTTATCAAATAATACATCATTACAGACTCATACAGAACAGTTTCACTGTCCTAACAAATCATTATGCTCAATCCTTTCATCTTTCCCTTCTTCTTAACCTTGACAACCATTATCTTTTCAGTGCCTCAAGAGTTTTGTCTTTTCCAGAAAGTCATCTACTTATAACAGTAAAGCATATTGCTTTTTCAGACCAGTTTTGTTTTTCACTTAACACAATGCATTTATGTTTCCTCCATGTTTCTTAGCAGTTTAGTAGCTCATTTCTGAATAATATTACATTGTATGAATGTATCACACTTTGTTTTTCCATTCACCTGATGAGGGGCATCTCAGTTGCTTTTAATTTTTTATAACTGTGAATAAAGCTGCTACCAACATTCAGGTTTTTATGCAGCTATGAGTTTTTGATTCATTTAAATACCTAGGAGCATTCTTTCTGATTGTATGATAAGATAAAGACTGTCAAACTATCTTTCAAAGTGCCATACCATGGAATTAAAAGAAATAAGATGACATATTTTTAGACCAGAATTAAAGAATAAAATAAAATAAAGAATAAAAGCATGGTAGAGGCCAAGTTAGCAGGAAAGAGGAAAGATAAGACTATAAGAGCATTCAGGCTTGATGGTCTACATAAATTGTGAAGTAATTGGTAGGGTTGTTTTCTAAGAATGAAGTTTCATGGAGGAGTAGAGCATCTGTCAGAAAAATATATATAGTACATAATGTACACTGAGTATTTATTATGTGTTCAGGTCTATTTTAAGTGCATAACTAATTGAGAGAAAAATCAACATTTAAAGAAAAGAAAACTGACACAGGTCACATAACTCACCTGAGGTTACATACTAACTGATGAAGTAAATTGTGAAGCCTTCAACATTCTGCTTCAACTTTCTATTTTAGTACTGAGTATTGTGTAGCTCTGAGAGTTTGGAAGGAGTGCTATGAGTCATGTAAATGGGAGCTGCTCAAGGACAAAGCTGTTGTTGGTAGAAGTGGAGAAGAGCTAATGTCCCCTTCCATTCCTGAATGTCCTTGAGGCAATGAGTCATATGAGGATGGAAAAAATGTATAACTAGCACTGTCAAGATCAGTTTTTAAAGGAACATTTTAGTGGAGAATAAATATTACCATTATTTCTCATAAACCCACTGAAATCCCCTTTACACCCTCCTTTTTATTTTTGGAAAGAAAAATTTCCTCTCTAAATGCTTTATCTATGAAAGAAGGTATTCTTTCACATATTTCTTTTTCAATTTAACTGAACAGTGTTGGAAGAAAATCAAGAACCAATTCACCTAGTCAATTATACCACCATAGTCAATGAACCAGCTCCATCTTAACCTCTGTATGTTATTACCACCTCATTGTTCAAAGCATTGGATTGGATAGAGAGCTTTCACCAAGATGATAACCAGTGAGATAAGGGGTTACTAGACCTTGGGAAACATGTGAGAGAAAAATCGCAAGATTCAGTAACAGTTAAGTGTATGCCAGCTCTGAAGGTTACCCTCTCTTTCTAATGGAAGGGTGCATTTTTATAGTGGCCAAATGCCAAGTTGCCAGGTGTGTAGAAAAATAAACATTGTTGGCAGACAGGTTGAGCAAAGAGGAACTCTGGCTGGGTTTTGGAAAAAATTGCTGCAGTAAGCAGAATCAGGTATGTTGTTTAAGGATACAAGAGCTGATAACAATAGAAGCACTCATGGTAATTAATGAAAACAGATTTGGGAAAGAGCCCACCATTACTCAATGGGAACCCATTAGAAGTTAAGGTGAAGCATGATTGCTGTGTAATGTGTCTACCAGTCAGAATGTATGATGATTACATAGATTCTGTAGTTCTGGAGTTTAAGGGGAAAGTTCACTTCTATCCCCTGTGGAATGGATACACCCCGTGGGTCTTGCATACTTAGTTGAAGTGTCTGATTTTCTAAAGAGGGCACTCCCAGTGGCCAGAGCAAGGGTTAAAAGGTCATGGTCCATATTCATGTCAGCTCCTTACGATAGTTGGTAGAAGCTCTTCATGATGTGACTTCATACCATACAGCTCTTAATGTTCCACTTTGCTTTAGATGCACTGGCCCCTAGAGGACATTGCTGTCTTCTTTCCTCCATATACGACTGTTTACCAGAAATATTCTATGACATTCTGCTGTCTTTTTACATTACAGAGTTATCATTTCCCATATAGATCATATTTATTTGTTTTAATGTTTTGCTATGCTCAACATAGAGAATATCAAGATAATCTATAAGGTATCAATGAATAAATCTAACAAAAATATTTAACATTTCATGGAAAAATATAATAAATTATCTAAAGGTATTAAAACGTGCAAAATTACCATGTTTCTGAGTAGGAAGACTC